GTTCATTTATAAGCAAAGACTAATTATAATCATACACAATTAGAGTAAAGGTGATTTTTACAACAGCAATTTCTGAATTGTTATAGGAAATACTATACTTCCTTTTCATTATCCTTTAGTCAAAAAGACATTTAACGGAAGGCATTAGGCTTAACAAAAGCCGTTTTTGTCTGCACCAAACTATCACATGAATACTTACTGAATAGTTAGAAATATAATTCTAACCATTCTAATCTGATCTGATATCCGATGCTACTGTTATTGCCACATGATTCTGCTCTTTCTTCTGCAACACGTTCTGCGACCTATCAAAGTAAAACCAACCTAATTTTTTTAATCATATAAGTTTATACACTGGAGTACATTATATATATATATATGAATAGAATCATTTTTATTTTCTGTGAACTTTACAAATGTCAAGAAAATTACAGAAAAAACTACCTGTAATTTTATTGAAAGTTTCTTTTTTATATTTCACTAGGATGGTCAAAAGTCTCCAATTTCTGGGGACAATAACACTGCCCTTGCAAGAAAAACAACCCAAAAAGTGTCCCGATTCAACGAAGAAAAAAAATAATCCCAAAACTCCATTCTATTTTTTTTCCTATATTTATAAACAAATATTGTTCTGTAATGACACTAATGAAATTTCGTCAGTGCTGACCTTAAATGTCATAAAGTTTTTCCTGCTTTTTTTTAGAACAAACAAAACTCTAAAACAAACAAACTCAAAGATATACTACTGGTAATAATATACCAAGCTTCTCCAGTACTGCCTGCATGTGGAATTATGGTGAGTACAGGTATAAAAAATTGTTTACAAGTTTTAATTAACAACATATGGTCACCTTATAATACAAGAATTATTATACTTCAAAAGCAAAAACACCACAGTGGTTTTATCCCTTTTTTCTACATTCTTTGCATATCTCAAAGAGCTTATTTGATAAAACAGCATAGCAAGAAAGAAAGACGTGGTTTGGAAAGAATGAATATAACATGCTCATTACTCATCATACAGAGTATTTATTTATGACTTTCTAATGTTTCAAAAGTTTTGTTCACAGTTTAAAACAGGAGAAAAACTACACAGTTAAAATTATTTTAAAATAAAATCACAATTACCTGTCCCTTAACTTGTGCAAAATAAAAAATAATACTAGTAAAAAATGTACTGAACTTTCTTGACAAAAATACATTCTATTTTACACTATTTCAGTTTTAATCACCAAACTCATTTGCATTAGACAGCTAAAAAAAAATTGCTAAAAAGGAAATAAAAGAATAAACAGAACCAAGACTTAAATGAAAAAGAATCTGGCTCTATAACGAAGGTAATAAAATTGACAACTTAAATGATCATATTTTAATATTATACATGTATTTCATACTTGGTATGTTCTACTTACTTTGACACTATCTGTTCATTATATAATTAAGACTTCAAAAATTGGAAAATGAAGTAATTTTATTTTGACTGAACTTAGAATTATGTTCTTATGACAGTAAAGCCTCGAATTAATGCTGCCTTATAATCTTTCACAATTTCTGTATTACGTTTAAAGAATTATCTAAAAATTTCCTTGAGGCTGAGCAAACCAGTCTTGATTTGTGCATTTTTTTCACTCAACTTACAGAAATTGCACTAATACGTCTTGGTTGAGTACACACGATGCGACACAGAGAACCCTTTCCTTCTTCAATATAGTGATCCAGAAGAAACTGTGTCACCTGAAAACAAATTCAATTGTATAACCACAAGAAGTTAAAGTTCAAAAATCAATTTATACTACCGTCACATAAGTGTTTTTCTATGTATAGGAAAGATTTTTACATTTTGATTTCTTGCTCGAGTGTTTAGGATAACTAACGAGTGACTAACCTACAATATTTAACTCTCAGAAGACAATGATGCACAAGGAGTTCCAGTGACTATGTGGTCTAATAGGGCCCAGTAGGGGCTTGTCTGTTGAATTTTGTTCATCTATGGGGACCTTTTCTTGCCAATGTCTGGGTTCATAAGGTTCTTTTGGAGGGATTGGTTATCCCCTTTCTCTCCATTATCCAGACAGACTCCTCTGTCCAGTTTGTGCCCTCCATTGTTCTACTGCTTGTATGGTTTCCTTCCGGGGTTATCATTCCTGCCTTTCCTCTTCCTGTGATTTTTTCCCAGTTATCCTGACCACTTGGGTTTGACGTTTAATTCCGTTGGCCTGTTCCTCCTTGTCTCCTTCCCAGTGTGATCTGTTTCACATTTTCTCACATTGGAAGAGATTCCAAGATTGGGTATGTGGATGACTCTGCACATGTTCATCTCCCACTACTTATACTAGATTGCTGTATTTGCTTCCTCAGGGTATTTACTATCGTCAATGGCTATTCTACAGACCTCAACGTGGCTGTGACATGAGGTAAGCCCTCACTAATGCTTTCTTTTCTTTCAGGGGCTTTGTTTCAGCTTCACTTTGGATTCTGCTTTGTGGTGAGTGGTGCCTGACCAGGTATTCTGTCTGTACTCTGAATGGATTCCTTTTAGATGTCTATAACCATTCGCAGACATCTTAATATAAAATCCGCACTGTAAGCCATGTTGATTCTTATATATTTTCCATGGCCATGTATGCTCATCCTTGAGATGGGGTGTTTCACAAGATCACTAGAGAGTACATTCCTCGTGATAATTGGGTCATAATATGCCTGTCCCGGGCCAAATCACCCATGGACAGCATGGGTAAAGCAGAAAGGGATTACTGCACATCTCTGCCATGCCTAGATTGAATAAATTGGTGTGGTCTACTTCTCAAAATAGCGTTTCATGGATGCTTCCGAAGGATCTGCCTGTGCTTCCCTCACAATCTTGTGAGCAGAGGGAGAGTACCTTATTAGAAGCTATAATTTTCCTCTGCTCACATTTCCCACCCATTCTCCCCACAATCTTCTGGTGCTCGCATCTTCTGCCAAACTTCAAAGTGATAGTTTGGTAGTAGTGTGTAGAGGGAGTCACATGTGTCACGTGATAGTAGTGCTTTCCTATTGCTGGAGAGGGGACACATGATGATTTGCATGAGAGATGTGTTAGAACTTTGGATTCCAACAGAGAGAGGATGGAGGCTTGTGGCATGCATTTCTGAAAAAAGTTTGCATATAGTGGGCTGCACAAAACGAGAAAAGCTAATCTTGTGAGCGGAGGGAAGTATCTATCAGAAATACATTTTCATTTAGGAAAATTATAACTTTATTGAGTCATGCACACACACTAATCAAATAATCTGAACAACCTTGAATTAATTGAACCTAATGAGAAAGTGAAACAGCAATATTTCAATTACTTGGATATAATTAAAAACAGTAATAATCAGAAACACTAATTTTCATTAGTTGGTTATTTTCATGACATTAATCAATTTAATTGTAATTAATCGATTATATCTACCTGACACTAAACTGATATAATCGATGCTCATATCAATGAATTAAGTACCTAGCTTTACTGTACACTATACATTCATGTTTATATATTTATATGTTTGTGTATAAACACATACTCATAGTTGTGATATCAAAACATAATGAAGACAGGTTTGTATAATATTTTCTAAGGTTATTTGATTCGATCTTACTGTAAAGATGCATTAGAATTGGGTACACAAAAGTAGCAAGTACAGTTTAGGATTTATTTTCTACTTTATAAGGTAATATTTTTATAGTTTCTTGGATTTTCACAGTAAATCCTCAAACAGTGGCACCACGGAAGGGTGGGACAGAAAGAGGTTGGGAAAGAGAAGGTTGGAAGACAGGAATCAATGCCTCGCTCAGCCCCTAGAGCGACAAACAAGTTACCAAGTGAGTAAGGGTAGAACGTCGATGGGCCGAGGCTACCTGCGCCTCAAAAGACTCAGTAACAGAGTCAAACACATAACGCCACAAAAATGCCATCATGCAGAGGTCCCTCAAATAAAGAGCCTGGAGATGGAACGATGCCATAAATCAGGAAATGCCTCTACCCACTGAATCTGGTTGAAACACATAAAGAAGTAGTGGGGTAGATGATGTAGCATTTTATTTACAGTGTATTTCAGGATCAATATGAAGTCCTTTTGAGTTCCATCAAAATTGTGTTATGACCAAAAAGCCAAATAAGCCACAAAAAAAAAGGAGAGAGAAAGAGAGGGGTGGTTTGTCTCATTTTGATGGTGGT